TCATTCTCCTCCCTTCTTTCTCCCCACACCCACTTCCAGCGGTCAGGGCTAAAAGTCCCCTGCACGGTGGTGCTTCAAGCTGCGGCTGTCTGAGCCTCTTCTTGCATGCAGTGGAGTTGCAGCTGTGTCAGTCCCAGTGTATCAGGGAGACAGAGTGGAGGAGGTGGACTCTTGTTCTCTTAGGCTATGTCTAGACTGCAGGCTTTTTGCACAAGGAGCTTTTTTCGGAAGAGATCTTCTGAAAAAACGTCTTGTGAAAGAGAGTGTCCAGACTGCCTGGATGCTCTCTTGCATGTGAGCTGTGATTGCTATGGGCAGAATGGCCACCAGGGCACCTGTGCTTTTCCTCTTCCCTCTTCTTCCGAAAAAACTCCCTTTTCCCCGTCCACACACGCCTTTTTCTGAAAGAGCTCTTTCGCAAAAAGGCTTCTTCCTCGTAGAATGAGGATTACCAATTGCGCAAAACCCTTCTGTTCTTTCAATAGCTCAGGGCTAGGGGAGGGATAGCTCAGTGGTTTGAGCATTGGCCTGCTAAACCTAGGGTTGTGAGTTCAATCCTTCAGAGGGCCTTTTAGAGATCTGGGGCAAATCTGTCAGGGATGGTACTTGGTCCTGCTGTGAGAGCAACGAACAGGACTCAATGACCTCTCAAGGTCCCTTCCAGCTCTATGAGATAGGTATAGCTCCATATATTATGATTTACTGTCACAAGAACGCACTTGCAGCATGGGCATCACTCAGGTTTTGTCGGAAAAAAGGCCGTTTTTCCAACAAAACTGTGTAGTCTAGACATACCCTTAGTGCCAGTCTAAGTTGCAGTCAAACAATTGAGATCTAAGAACAGTTCTCCCACCGAAATGCAGTCACAAGACTAGGTATCGCCTGGCTTGTAATGGAAGACAGATTTGTAGCGGTATATTTTCACAATAGGAATATTGCCAGATGTTCTGAAAGCAGCAGAAGTGGAGGTTATAATTATAATCTGTTATTAGCTCTGCAACCTGTACCAGCCATAAGAGTGACCAAAGCTGCTGTAGAAGGAAAATCTGTACTCAAGACAGAGATGGATTGGACATCCTTTTATCTGCATGTAAGGCCACACTGACTCAGCTGTGGCTCCAGGAGTGAAGAACTTGACTTTAAAGCGACACTTTAATTCTGTTAAAGCCCGAACCCTTGTGAAAATAAAGCAGACCAGAGTTTAGCCATTTGAATCAACAGGGCGCCCTTGTAGCTAAGAAGGCTAACGGCACATTGGGGCGCATTAGGAGGAGCATTGCCAGCAGATCCAGAGATGTCATCATTCCCCTTTATTTGGCTCTGGTGAAGTCACATCTGGAGTATTGTGTCCAATTTGGCTCCCCTTGTTACAGAAAGGATGTGGATGCATTGGAGAGGGTCCAGCAGAGGACAACCAAAATGATGAGGGGATTGGAGAACATGACCTAGGAGGAGAGACTGAGGGATTTGGGCCTGTTTAGTCTGCAGAAGAGAAGGATGAGGGGGGGATTTGAGAGCAGCCTTCAACTCCCTGAAGGGGGGTTCCAAAGAGGATGGAGAGAGGCTGTTCTCAGTGGGGGCAGGTGGCAGAACAAGGCGCAATGGTCTCAAGTTGCAGTGGGGAAGGTCTAGGTTGGATATTTGGGGAAGCGCTGGGCTGGGTTCCCTAGGGAGGGGGTGGAATCTCCATCCCTAGAGGTGTCTAAGTCCCAGCTTGACAGAGACGCCATCAAATGGTGCTGGAGAAACCCCCAGCTCAGGAATCCCTTTTGGTTCCACTTTGGCCCAGGCGGGCGCATGCGCACCACGGTGTTTGTGGCTGGTTGCAGGTGCGGGTGTGGGAAATTGGCCAGCACACTCGCAAGCTGGAGGGCGTTCTGAAGGAGCACATATCCACCATATCTTGCATCAAGATTAAGAAGAACAACCGGGAGTGTGTGACAGCCAGCACCGACGGGACGTGCATCGTCTGGGACCTCGTGTAAGGAGATCGCTCCTCCCCAGCAGTGCGGCACTTCTCAGCCGTGGCAGGGCTCTGGCCTTGTGGGTGTGTGGGCAGGGGGTGTGCGGATAACGCTTTCGCAGAGCCCCCCTCCTCCCCGGGGTGCCCTAGGCAGCGAAAGTCTTCCCCAGCAGTGTCCGGAAAGCAATTTTGCCGCTGATCTCAATCCCTGCCTGACAAGGCCTTTTGTGTGGGAGTGAAGGAGGGGCGGGGGGGGGGGCCGTGGCAGGGCTCTGGCCTTGTGGGTGTGTGGGCAGGGGGTGTGCGGATAACGCTTTCGCAGAGCCCCCCTCCTCCCCGGGGTGCCCTAGGCAGCGAAAGTCTTCCCCAGCAGTGTCCGGAAAGCAATTTTGCCGCTGATCTCAATCCCTGCCTGACAAGGCCTTTTGTGTGGGAGTGAAGGAGGGGCGGGGGGGGGGGAGACCGGCACCTGCTCAAATGAGTGCCACGTCATCCGTGCTCAGGAAACCCTTTCCTCAGCCAGCGTGGGCTGGCTCTGACCTGTGGAGAGGCCCCGCGCCCACTGTAGGGAAGCCTCTGCCTCAGGCTGCTTTGGGGTGTTTTTCAGCCGATTCATGAGGAATCAGATGATCCTGGCCAACACCTTGTTCCAGTCCGTGTGTTACCATCCGGAGGAGCACCAGATAATCACCAGCGGGACAGACCGGAAGGTAAGCGCAGCGCCAGGGGCAGGCCAGCGAGGGGGGTCATTGGGTGGCATTTCACATGCCAGCCCTTCTCACGCCAGCGTGGGCCCCCCCGCGGCAGAAGGGCAGCCGTGGTAGGGGAAGGCATTGGGCACTGGAGTGAGCTTGTTGCTGGCCCCCAGAAGCCGTGGAAATCTTCACACCAGCGCTGCACGCGTGAGCTCCCATTTCCGATCTTCTTTCCAGATCGGATACTGGGAAGTATTTGATGGCTCTGCAATCAGGAATTTGGAAGGCTCCCTGACTGGCTCCATCAATGGGATGGATATCACCTCAGACGGGACCTACTTTGTCACAGGCAAGCAGACTGGGGGGGACCCCAGAGTGTAAAGACGCCCCAGGGAAGTAACACCCGGAAGGGTGAGAAGTTAGGCAAGGAAGAACAAAAGGAGACCTTGCGAATAGGAACGGACGAGGGTGGGAAACGCTTGGGAAGATACGGTGGGCTTCATCCTGCGACGTGCCCAGTGCAATAATGCAGGGAGGAACGCACTCGGCAGCTCCCAGGATCAGAAACCTGGGCTGTCATGGGGAACAACTGGGGTCATTTCAGCCCCACGCCGCTGAATTCAGTGGAGTTTCCCTGGGGATGAGTTGGACCCTTGGACTTTCCTGGCTCGCGGAAGTCTCCGTTCTCCAGAAGCCTGGAAATCTTAAGTGGAGAATGACCCATGCGGGTGCTACAGCTGCCCAGCCTAAGCACTGGTGCATACAGCCCTCGCCTGGCTCCCACACACTGTGAGCCTGACCCTGGAGTGGCACGGGGGAGCCAGGTGAGTGGCCAGGCCTGTGGTAAGGTTGCAGACTGGCTCCCTTAACTGTTAAACCAGCACGGAGAGGAAATTCTCACTGAAGGCCTGGCGGGGTGGGGGACTCTGACTATAGCTTGTCGGGTTCAGTCAGGGTAGGGGCCCGTGCCAAGCTCCGCGCTGATCCCAGACACTGTAGTGGGGGAAATCCTTTCCATCCACAGCGCTCAGGGCCTTGGATCCCACCCTGTTCCCGTCCCAAAGCCAGGACATTCCTCTGCCTTCTCCCTATGATCACAAACCATCTGTCCTCCTTGTGTCCAACAGGCGGTGACGACCACCTGGTGAAGGTCTGGGACTATAACGAGGGCGAGGTGACGCACGTTGGCACGGGCCACAGTGGCAGCATCACCCGCATCAAGATCTGCCCCGGGAACAAATACATTGTGAGCGTGAGCGCGGACGGGGCGATCCTGCGGTGGAAATACCCACACTCCCCCTGACACCCGGCACAGACACTGCGAGGCCACGTGCCAGTTCTGAGCTCTGTTTTCTCGTACTGCTCCACACTGTGCAAACGTTCCCCTGATAGAGGAGCCCTGGGTTTTATAGACGCGCATATTAAGTAACCTGCCCCGTCAGATGCTCCCTGGTGTCCATGAGACTGACCGGCCGGACTTGCTCAGGCACTGGGCACCTGCAGCCCCCGCTGGCTCCCTGAAGTTGCGGGCTCCTCCCTGTTCAGGGCCAGCCCAGGCAGTTCTGTCGGGGCTCGTGTTCCGTTGCTAAATCCCCTTCCAGCTCCGTCTGCCTCCTTCACAATGAACGGCTTGTCGGCGGAATTCAGGCTTCTGTGCTCATTCGTCATCCCTCCAGTTTTCAATAGCAAAACAGCCTTTTCCACGTCCACCCCGAAAGGTCGTGGACAGAGCCCCTGGATTTCAGATGCTCAGAGGTGCGTGAGGATTTGGGGTGTCCTACGTTTCAGGATCCCAACGGGGCACCCCTCAAAGGGGCCTGGTTGTCAGAGACCTAGACGGGTTCGTAGCTGGGCTAGAGTGAGGTGAGGGTCCTTGGCAGCGCGTGCGGGAGATTTGCGTCTCTGACACGAGGTCCTGTGGGGATGGAGTGTAAAGAGGGGAGGTGTCTGCTCTGTGCTGGCTGGACCCTGCTGTGATGTGAGTAAGAGGCTGAGTCCTGCCTCTTCTGTTTCTACAGCCTCAGGCCTTGTGCTCTGGTGGCAGCCGCGCAGGCAGCCCCTGGCGGTGGGGCAGCAGTGTTCGCCGTGGCTGGTAGGACGGGGAAAGGCCTCTGGCATGTCAAACGCTGGGAGGGGAGGGATCCGACCGTGTGCGCTGCTGCCGTGCAAATGGAAACGCCCCCAGCCAATGCGGTGCCGAGCTGGCAGAACGGGAGCCCTGCGGTCCTGTCCTGTCCTGTCCTGTCCTCCAGGCCAGTCACAGCGAGGGCTGAGCTGCCCTGACCGGGGGCAGCTGCTCTGGAGAGGTGCTGGCCGTTCAGCGTTTGGCCTCGCCCGTCAGTGAGGAAGGAGAGCGCTTGGTGCCTTTGGGCTGAGGCCAACACCTGTGGGGAGACCCCTCATGTCACAGAGCCACCCGCCGGCCACAGAGGCTCTCAGCCCTCAGCCACGCCGGGGAGAATTCAGCCGGCAAACTGGGCGTGAAAGGCCCGTCTGCCTGCTGCTGCCATTTCCCCTCAGGTCGAGAGCTGTACAGCGCACTCCGGCGTCCCCTTGCGCCCGAGGGTCTCTGGGCACAGCCCACACACCGGCTGACTCTCGGCGCCCCGTGTACAGAAGGGAGACGGAGGGGAAGTAACCGAGGTAGAGTGGTGTGCTGCGTCGGGGGGGTGCAGGCTAGACCCCAGGCGGGAGGACTCTGGGCTCGGACGTGCTCCAGTTGCGAGAATCTGTTTCCTTCTGTTTACGGAATGCAAGTAACCAAGGCCCCTCGCGGCCCGTCTCTAATGGGCCATTGCCGGGACTCAGCGCTGGGAGCACGGCGGGGATCGTGGCCCCTGCAGTGTGGTGCTGCACCGGCTTCACTAGGCGAGCTCAGCAGTTTGGGGTGTGGCTGCTCCCAGACTGGCTTGGCTTGCCCTCTTAAAAAAGCCTCTTCAAGCCAACGCAGCAGGTCCCTGACAGAGCTGCAGGGGGTTGCATAGAGTGTAGACGAGCCTGAAGGGTTCTGCCCGCCAGGCCGTGGTCCTAGCTGCCACTCCCGGTCTGGTACTGCACCTGGCCACGTGGACTGAGTCTGCTCCGGGACTTGGCGCCCCAATGGCCGAGCTAGGCCTGAGCAGGCCCACCTAGTGTCCCAGCCATGCCCGTACCACTCCACCTCGGCAGCTCTGCGTCCTCTGCGTAGCCCTGCTCCTCAGCACCTGTGGTGCTCTACGGGCTGCGTGCCCCCGTCCTGCCCGGCTGCCCCAGGTGTCACAGATGGCTCCGGCCTGCATGGACCGCTCAGAGCAGTCGCCACGCAGAGCAGAGGGGAGGGGGGCCGGGCGGTGTGGGAAACCTGCCCTGCAGTACGAGTCCCCTCCCTGTTTGCACTTCTGATCTGAATGGACTCGCTACGCTGGCGCTAGTCGCGAGGACGCTGCTGGTGGCGGTGGGGAGCTAGAACACGCCTGCGGGCGAACGCCATGGAATACAGCCGCTTCCTCTCCGCAGCTAACAGGCGCTTTCTGAGTAGCAAGGTAATTGCTTCTGCTATCTCCGAGG